ACACCCACGCCGACGCGTTGGCTAACCTGGCCAGTTCAATTCAAACTGGAAAAACAAGGACAATTATGATCGACTACATGTCGGCCCCAAGCATAGATAAACAGAACACCGAACAAGAAGCAATGTGCGTGGACTTGGGACCAAGCTGGATGTATGCAATCATTGCATTCCTAAAAGAGGGGAAGCTGCCAGAAGACCATAAGGAAGCACATAAAATTAGACTGAAGTCGGCCAGATACAGTCTAACAGCAGAAGGCCATCTCTACAGGAGGTCCTTCACGGGACTGCTCTTAAGGTGCGTACATCCTTTGCAGGTTGAAGATTTTCTCTACGAAATTCATGAAGGAATCTGTGGAAGCCATACGGGGGGCAGATCATTAGCCCACAGGGCAATTACCCAGGGGTATTGGTGGCCCTACATGCAAAAGGATGCCGAAGCCTATGTAAAGAAGTGCGAACAATGCCAAAGGTTTGCACCTTTGATACATCAACCAGCTGCCGACCTAAACCCAGTATCCAGCCCTTGGCCGTTTGCCCAATGGGGCATGGATCTGGTTGGACAACTTCCCCAAGCAACTGGGCAAAGAAAATACTTGCTGGTAGCAACAGACTACTTTACAAAATGGATAGAGGCAGAACCTCTTGCAAAAATCCGAGATGTGGACGTCAAGAATTTCATATGGAGAAACATCATCACCAGATTTGGGATTCCAAGAGCAATAGTTGCCGACAACAGAACACAGTTTGACAGCAAGCTCATCAAGAACTTTTGTGCAAAATTCAAAATCAAGAATTATTTCTCGACACCAAGTTTTCCTCAAAGCAATGGGCAAGCAGAGGCATCCAACAAAGTAATCCTGGACGGAATAAAGAAGAGGCTGCAGGCAGCAAAAGGAAAGTGGGTAGACGAGTTGCCCAACGTACTTTGGGCATATCGGACTACGCCGAGAAGATCAACGGGAGAATCCCCCTTTGCCATGGCTTATGGCACAGAAGCAGTCATCCCATTGGAAATTGGCATCCCAGGGATCAGAACCCAGGGAGTAGAAAATGGCACCAATGACATACTCTTAGCCCGAGATCTGGATTTGTTGGAAGAACGAAGAGAGAAAACTGCAATTCAGCTTGCAGTATACCAGCAACAGCTTGCCAGGACTTACAACAAGAAGGTTAATCCAAGAGATTTTCAAGTCGACGACCTAGTACTAAGGAAAGTCGTCGGGAACAAGAAGGATCCCAGGGAAGGCAAGCTTGGCCCAAATTGGGAAGGACCCTACAGAATTACTTCAGTATTAGGCAATGGAGCTTATCGACTTGAGGATAATGAGGGCAAAGCACTACCCAGACCTTGGAATACTTGTAATTTGAAATATTTCTATCATTAAGATGTGCATCATTTTTTGATCGACGTCATCAATAAAGTCTCTTCAGAATTCTTTCAACACATATGATTGATAAAGTTATGCATTGTTATTTATTGAAAATGTAATTAATGTGAACCCAAGTTAAACTCAAGTTCACATTGGGGGCAAAGAATAAACCGGGATTATTCCTTAATTCACTTGTTGAAATTTGTAGCAATTTACAAGTTGGAATTAAGCTGATTCCTTATCTTCACTTGTTGAAATTTGTAGCAATTTACAAGTTGAAAATAGGCCGAGGTTATTGCTTAAGTTCTCATAGCAATAATGTGGGTCGTTTAAACCCAAGGAAAGATGCTTAACACTTGTTTGAAATTTGTAGCCAATTTACAAAGTTTATGTTAAAAGCCGACATATGATTCACCCGCTGAGGTATACAGAAATTTACAGGTTGAAATTAAAGGCTAAAGTATATTGTTTACTACTTGTTGAAATTTGTAGCAATTTACAAGTAGGATAGATCGAGATTACTGTTTGAAACTTACTTGAGAAGAAACTTGCAAAGTTTACATTCAGAAATATATGTTTTATACTTGTTAAATTTTATGAAAAAGTTTGCAGGTCAGTATCTTGCCGAAGTAAAAGTTTTGTAGTTATACCCGAGGTATGAAACCCTGAGAAGATTGCACAAAGGAAGCAACATGAAGAAGCATGCAAAAAAAAAAATTTTCTAAGTACAAGACTATGCAGAAGCAGTCAACAGAACATCACAAGATTAAAACATCCAAAGGAAGAACAGTTGCAGTTACATATTGAAAAAGCCACGTCAGCCATAAGAAGGAGTTTTGCATTATCCAGAAATTAAAAGAGTACAAAATGCAAAAAACAGAAAAAGAAGGAAAAAGGTACAAAAGACATTTTTTCAAGATTCTTCAGTATTAGCCGCTGCTAGAACTGGGACCTCGGACGATTCTGGTGGAACCTCCTCGGCAACCCTTTCTGCTTCAATCTCAGCATCAATCTCAGCCAGCGTATTATCCACATTTCTTTCGGCCAAAAGAAGGTCGGATGATAGTTAACCGATGACAATCTCCTTAGGTGCCTCCCCCACCTCATCACCCTCCTCATCCAGGGTTAGATCCATAACTTGCTCAGCAGGAGGAAGGGACTTGGCTTCAACAGCATCCTTGGGTCTCCTCACCAAGGCTTCATCTTCATTTTTTTCTCCATCCTCATCCTCGACATCGGCCTCAGTCTCTGATTCGTTTTCAGCCTGACTTGGAGGAGGAAATGGTAGGGGGATGGCATCAGCATTCCGAAGGGGCGAGTCAACAGGGAGATCAACCTTCTTTATCAGGGACATCCAACCAAGGGAAAATCCCCTGTTGCATGCCTGCCTGACTTGAAGCTTATAATCTTCTGCGACGTCGGCCATACCTTGGGCATAGGCCTTTTCATCGGCCTTTTTGACTTCGGCCTCCTTGGTTTTTCAGAGCTTGCTGGAGTTCTTTCTCCGCTTGGGCCCTCTTAGCCTCGGCCTCTCTTTTCTCAGCTTCAGCAACTTTTTTAACGGCCTCAGCGGATTCGGCCTTCTCAAGAGCTAAAGTTTGGGCTTTAGTGGCAGCCTCGGCCTGATCCTCCAGTTTTTTCATTTTTGATTCAAGAGACTTTATCTCCCTCTTCAGAGAGGACGCCTCCCTCTTCATATCAACCAATCTTTGACGATTTTCAAAGGATTGCATTGAAAATGAATGGGCGTGTTAGATAGCCTGAAAGAAAACAGAAGTGTCAGAAAATTTTCTCAGTACGAAACAGAAGGAAAAAACACAAATGCAAACAGAAATGCTTACCTGAACAGAATGTTGGAGCATGAGAGCATAATTCTCATACTCACTAAGCTTAGCATTTCGCTCCAAATCATTTGGAAGCAGAAGAGCAGTGCTGAGGGCGACACCAACGTTAATATCGTCGGCACTTTCACTGGCCATGATAGGCCTATCCTCCAGGGTTAGTTCAGGAGCCCATGGAACGTCGGGCTTCTTTGACGCCGAGGTCGTCGCAGAC